GTCATATAAGTGAGCAGATTACTCCACCTGTTGTGCGCACCTTTTGGGTTGGAAACCCATGTCCAACAAGTGGTATAGAGTAATGACCTAAGCCACCATGTGGACTGACTCCTTGTGTCGGATGAGAGAACAGTAATAGTTATTCATTGTAAGCTTCGTTCGAGAGGAAGATTGTTGAGGGATCAAACGAATTCTACATGGGTTGATGATGAGAAGGTCTTGGGCCATATAAGTGAGTGAATCAGTCCACCTACTAGGTGCATCTTTTGGGTTGAAAACTCATGCCCAACAACTTTTTACAAAATCACCCTCCATCAAAAAACAATATTACACAAAGGAGAGACGACGGCCCACCTAGTACTCGTGACTCTTAGCACTATCGAATTTAGGGAGGGTTTGATATATGCAATCTTTACTCTAAATGTGGAAAGACTATTTTCGCAACTAAAACCCTTTCTGCAACTATTAAATTTACGAAATAATTAAATTAACAAACAAAGAAACATACATACTACAGTAATGAATTTATTATATTTTCTGATATTAGTGCAATATGAGACTAATAATTTTGTTGATTTTTTTTCCTTTTTGACATTACAGCAAGCTCATTGGAGCAAGGTTCTACAACAGCGAGGACTATTATGACATTACCGACATCAAATCCCCAAGAGACTCGGAAGGACACGGTACCCATACAGCCTCGACTGCGGCCGGCCGAGAGGTCGCCGGAGCAAGCTACCTGGGGCTAGCAGAAGGTGTAGCAAGAGGCGGAGTGCCCAATGCAAGGATAGCAATGTACAAAGTCTGCTGGTCTTTTGGATGTGGACTTGCAGATATTCTTGCAGCATTTGATGATGCAATTGCAGATGGTGTTGATATTATATCAGTTTCTCTAGGATCCAACTGGCCAACCCAATACTTTGACGACCCAATTGCCATTGGATCTTTCCATGCCATGAAAAAGGGAATATTAACCTCAAATTCCGCTGGAAACTCGGGTCCTGAACCGGTGACCGTGTCCAATTTTGCACCATGGACACTAACTGTTGCTGCCAGCAGTATTAACAGAAAATTTGTTGCTCAGGTGGTGCTTGGCAATGGACAAGTTTTCACAGTACGTTGAAAACTGCAGTGTCTAATAACTCATGAACAACCTTGTGATAGTCCTAGGATTAATGTTCGTTAGAGATCTGACAAATTTTACACACTCAGGCTTAGGACTGACTCGAGAAAAAGAAGATATTAAACACGACACAGAGAGTTGAACAATGCAGTTTCTGAAAATTCATACAGAACCTTGTGATAATTTCTCAAGATTAATGTTTGACTCGGGCTAATAACCCACTGTGCAGGAAAAAAATAGACCTTAAACACGACAAGGAAAGAGTTAAACCTTGTGATAGTTATCAGTTTCCCCATCTGCTTTTCTTATTCAATAATGTTGCCAAAATGCAGGGACTCTCTATTAATAGCTTTGATCTCAATGGGACCTCTTATCCATTAATCTGGGGAGGAGATGCAGCTAACTATACAGTTGGTGCTAATCCAGATATTTCAAGATATTGCATAACTGGTACTATGAACTCATACAAAGTGGAGGGAACTATTGTTTTCTGTGAAACCCTATGGGATGGTACTGGCATTCTTATGGCAAATGGTGTGGGTACTATAATGGCTGATTCATCCATCACTGATTTTGCCTTCAATTACCCATTACCAGCAACATTGATCAGCACAGAAGACGGTCTCAAAGTTTTCGATTACATAAAAACATCAGAGTGATAATTCTTTTTTACATTTCTTCCCAATAATTTCATAGTTATAGAGGCTTTTTTACAATGTCATACTAACATAATTGAGCTTAACGACATAACATTTCAGCAACCCGATTGCAACTATTCTGGTTAGCGAGACATGGGAGGATGTCCTGGCTCCTATCGTTGTTTCATTTTCTTCAAGAGGACCCAACCCCATTTCACCAGACATTCTCAAGGTAATCAAACATTTGGGTGCGGAATGATTTTTAAATTGAGTGTTTTTTTCTGTACTTGTCAATATGATTTTTGAATGTGTGTGAATATATATGTTCAATGTCTTGCATTACTAATGAGCAGCCTGATATTACTGCCCCTGGTGTGGACATTCTTGCTGCATGGTCTCCTGTGGCTCCACCTTCCATCGACTTTGAGGACACTAGGAGTGTCAAATACAACATAATTTCAGGGACATCTATGTCTTGCCCCCATGCTAGTGGTGCTGCTGCCTTTGTCAAGGCTTCCCACCCCAATTGGTCTCCAGCTGCCATTAAGTCCGCCCTCATGACAACAGGTGAAAACTCAATGCTAATTCTGCTCATATTTGGATTGAGGGTAATGCTATAATACCGAGGAATAAGTTTTTGGTACCTTACCAGAAGTTACTACAGAATAAGAGCTAGATTACAACTCAACCCGGTAAGGTTACGAGAATATGGGGCTATTTGAGGTCCCATCCTAAAATTTTAGGATTGATCCCAACCTTAGTCTTTAACCGACCTTTTGAGTTTTTCCTTGACTTCTAACCCTTATTTAGTTGTAAATTTTGGTGATCCTAATACTCCCTCTATGATCAGCTTATGTTGTGGATTCAAGGAAGCATGAAGACCGAGAATTTGCTTATGGTTCTGGTCACATTAACCCAGTTGCTGCTGTGGACCCTGGTCTCATCTTTGATGCCTCCGAGTCAGATTAAATCAACTTTCTTTGCAAGCTGGGCTACAACACATCCACTCTTAGACTCGTCACCGGAGACAACAGTGTCTGCAACAGCACAGAGCCCGGAAGAGCTTGGGATCTCAACTACCCCTCATTCTCCCTCTATGTTGAAGATGGCCAGCAAATCGCGGGTTTGTTCACTAGGACAGTGACCAATGTTGGGGCACCAAACTCAACTTACACAGCTACCATGTCAATACCATCAACTATAAGTGTGACCGTGGAGCCATCAGTCCTGTCATTCTCTGCTGTTGGAGAGACAAAATCGTTCACAGTGAAGGTCATGGGGCCGAAGATTGCACAGCAGCCAATCATTTCAGGTCCCATTCTGTGGAAAGATGGAGTCCATGTGGTGAGAACACCACTTGTGGTTTACAACTACCTCCCTGGTGCTCCTTATGATCTCGACTCAGCCCAAACCTACTCCATGGCTGAGAAGAAGCCAACTTTCAAAGGAACTTCCATATATCACAAGAATGGAATCATTGGACACAATTGAAACCATATCGATGACTTTCTATTGAGACGTGACATATTTGTGATGTCTTTGTTGAGAATAATAGAATAAATTTCCATGTAATGTAGGCATGGATCCTTGGACATGGCTAAAATGCCGTCCAAGATATGTTGAATACCTAGGTGTTTGGTAATGGAATCAAAGATTTCTAGCAGAGTGAAATGCAAAACCATGTCTTTTCCCTCCGATCTGCGATTTCCCGGTAATCACAAGAAATTTGTTCTCCTGTTTGTCAAACTACTAGTGCAAATTGGATGCCTCAATCACACATTAAAGAGAAAAAATTGCATTGTTATGAGATTCTAAACAGAGGAAAGGCCTACGTGGGAAATGAAGAAGATGCACAAATGGGTGGCTGCTTGATGTGGCCGGTTCTTCCGATTCAAATCTGTAGCATTTGCTTGTGGGGATGCTACTCTAGACGAGAGTTACTTGGGCTCGGTTCAGATAGGACTAGACTCGAACTTGACTCGTGTTTTAAACAAGTTAAGCTTCAACAATTTTTAGAATGTTCGACTCGAGCTCGCAAAGCTCGACTCGTTTATATATAAAAATAGGCGAGCTACTCCGGCTCAAGTCCGGATTCAGCTTGGGCCGAGCTTGGCTCGTTTTTTCAATAAACCGAGCTTGAATAATTTTTTAGGCTCAATTACAAAATGACCTCAATTGGCTCGGGCTCAGACTCAGACTCAAGCCCGCGAAGCTTGATTAACAACCCTATTTGCTTGTGACAATTCAATTAAGTATGCTCTATTAATCAAAAGATTAATTGGCTAAAATTACTAGGAGCCAATCCATGACTAATTTTTGAACTCTTTTATATATTAGTTTGTATTTCCACTTTACCGGTCGGATGTTAATTGAGTTAAGGTTGTGCAGTACAAGTTTTTTAATAGTGCTTAATTGTTGAGTTTACAATCTTGCTCAAGCTTGACTTCACAGAAGTTTGTGAGCAATCGAGCCAAGCTCTAGCTCTAAAAAAAATAGAAAAATTGAAGTCTATAACTTCTTAATCAATTTAAAACAACCAAGTTATCAACAAAAATACTACAAATTCTCTATAGTTTTTTCAAAAAAATAATTAGAACAGCATATAAATACATATAGTTCAAAGCTATTTGGGGATAAATTTAGGATTTAGATGGGAATTATTTGGAAATAAATAGAAACCCATTCGAGCTGAGTCAAGTCTACTCAAGTCGGGCTACAAATTGCTCAGATTCAGCTCATTTACCAAACGAGCTTAATGAAAGAAAGTTTCTCAAGCTAAAGAGAAATGAAAAATTCCTAACAAAAGAAAAGAGATGAGTGATTCCAGATCCGACTAGTTAAAGGAAGAAAGGGAATACACGTCCTAATACAGTTTTCTTTATTAACTCAATAAAGTAAAGTCTTCTAATCAAATCAATCCAATCCAAGTTATTTGGAAATTTAAGATCACCATTTAGCCGTATGTATTCCATGTAAGTTAGCACAAGCAAACTCCTTGGCTCAATCAAGTAGCCATGTAGCTGCAACGGGAATTATTCAGAACTGCCCAAAGCATATTGATTCTTCAATCCGGAGTCTTACAACGCGAACACCATAACTTGAGGGGCATGACTAACTTCTAATTGGAAAGAACATCACGGTCATGATAATGGTTATGGCTTCTAGTGGCCATGTGAACTATTTAGTTTCATCTCCCATACGATTCAGGAAAGCCATGGATATAACACAAAGTAAGCCATGAACTTGCATCGCTTGCAAACTTAAAAAACACGAAAATGACCAGATATATAACTTCAGAATTATTTATTTGCTGTCAAGTTAATATGAATACAACTTTCAAATACACAATAGGAAAGTCATGCATGTCATATGGGAAGAGGAAACACTATGGCAGAGAGATTGCATCAACGCACATGAGACTAAATAAATTTATATTGACTGACAAAATAAAATTTCAAACCTTATTATCAAGCCACAGGGGTCTTCCGATTTGGCTTGAACACGTACTGTATGAGGGACTCCTTAATGGGTAAGAGTTCAGGGAATTCTTGCTTCAGCTTGGTAGCATCAAGTTCATTGTTGCTCCTTGGCGCAACGATCACCTTTGCCTGCTCCTCAAGAGTAAAATTCTTCCATGTGAAGTTTGGGTCAATATATTCCCGATACATTTCCAGAATCTCGTTGTGGCTGACCACTCCAGGATTTGTATAGTTCCATATACCTGTGAGGTTTCTTTTTGCCATCTCGATGGAAATGGGAAGGAGTTCATCCAAGATTGTCATTGAGTTTGGTATGTTAACTACTTTTTTGTATTGACTGATCTTTGTGATGAAGTTGCGCGGGTTGGATAAATCTGATGAGATGGGCATTCTGACCCGCAATGTGCAGACGTTTTCATAATTGTTTAGCAAATCCTCCACCTTCACAACATCAGTAAAAATGAACAACCGTCAGAACTAACAGCTATAGTAACTTCAAACTCTGATGTGCCACTGCACACTCTTTAATGTAAAGGCCCTGACAATTATAAAGAGAAGCCACATTCACATATTAAAACTTTATAGATTACATCTTTCAAGAAACGATGCACCTTCTTTGACCCATGGCACAGATGTCAATTACAATGTCAAAAAATGATTCATGATGATCATTCTTAATAGTACCAGCTACAAAGAGTTTGCACTGTGCTGTGTTATGAATATTCAGCTACTTGTGAATCTTCTCCAAAAGACAACTATTCTTTGAGATGCAAAAGCCTGAACAATGGTCAAATCCTAAGAAAGCGAATAAATTCTCATAGAAACTCACACTATATTTTCCTTTATTGGGAGACATATGGTCCCAATCATGTTCTTCACAAGACCTCTAGGTTCTTGCCAAATACAAGACGCATAATCACCCATCAATAATTACAGATTAACAGTCATAATGGCATATCCCTCCCTCCATCTCTTTCTCTCCTTTGTGTACATAGTTATTTTGAATTTCTAATGATGATGACAACCCATCAACCACCCGGGCTAGATAGGAGGAGACCTCTCTGATGATAAAAAGGTTTTTCAAAAGAAGTAATATATATTTATCTTGCACACAAGAAGGGGTTAATTTTATCAGCACTCTTCTGTCATTCCACGAAAACAAATTTTCACAATATAAAGAAAAAGCAAACATCTGATTCAAGGCAAGTCAAATTGCTTTGAAAAAACACAAGCTAAGCCAACTAAGCTTGACTTTAGGCAAGTTAAGATCATAGATTTTTCCTTCCAAACATGTACTTTTACCAAACATTCTTCTGATGTAATTAATGACAGATTCCACCACCTTAATTTAGTCCTCATACACAAACAAGTTGTATTTTGCGAAGGATCTCCCCAGACCCCACAAAGATGGGATTCTCATGCACCAGATATACAAACAAGTTGGATTCATACTTACCATTTAGTACACACCCTTAAACAAGATTGGCAATGACAATCCCAGATCCAACACATTATAACTACACACAACACACATACACATCAATAGAGATCCGCTAAATTCGATCACTTGAACTAAAATTACTAAATATAGAAATAACCAGAACATAAATTCATATAGCTAGATCTTAGAATTCAATGGCGTGAATTAACGAATTGAATGAATTTGATAGAAAAGAAAGTGATTCACTCACCATGGCTTTGGTCTTGGAATAGAAAGATCCGATGAAATTGGGTTTATCCTCTTCCTTGAACCCAATACCGGTTCCTATCGAATGCTCAGAATCGTACTCAAAAATACAACCGGTAGCATAGTTAATCAAAACCAGACCCTTCTCTCTGCACACATCAGCCAGCGTCAGCGTCCCGACCACATTGGTCCGGATGGTCTCGACCTTATGCGATTCACACCAGTCTACATTTGGCCGGCCGGTCACGCCTGCGGCGTTGAAGACGTGGGTCGGATTCACAGCAGCAAGGTCAGCTTCTAAGGAGCTCCGGTACTCGAGACGGCCCGAGCCGTAAACAAAGTCGATGCCTTGGGCTTCGCAGAGCTTGCCCAGTAAGCCACCGATCCAGCCGGTCCGGCCATAGATCAAGAACTTAAGTGGCCGGTCGGTTGATGAGCCGTTGACTGGGAAGCCCATTTGAGAGAGAGAGAAGGAGGGGGGGGTGGGATATACTTACAGGTACTGAATATCTGGGTATTGTGGAAGAGAGAGAAATGCTGGGAGGATTGGAAGTCGGCGAGTGTGTTCCTGGTCTTTTGGCAAGATATTAGGCGGTGGCTTTGGACAGTGATAAGAAGTGACCGCCCTCAGATTCTTATAGTAAGGGAGAATCGTTATATATTCCAAGATTTGTTCAAATATTTTTACTAAATTTTATCCCAAGCTAATATAAATTATAGGATAATTTTTTTTTATATTTGTGTCTTAAAAAAAGAAATTTATTAAGAAAACCAAACTACAATATTTAAATCGGTAGAAATTAACTGTAAATTTAATGATCATCATCAGCCATTAAATAATATTAATTACCACCAACTTGGACTTGCAAATTTAAGCAATCAAACATTGCATATGCTCACCAGGCCTCCCCAAGAAGCCATGGACTCTAGACACCATGATAATTGATGATGCACAAAAATGGTTTTGCACACCACCTGTCAAGTATAGATAATAAATGCAATGAAATCAACGAGAAAATTAAAGAAGACACAATTTATAGTGGTTCGGTCAATTCGACCTACGTCCACTCTTCAATGGCTTCAGTCGCCGGGTATTTTATTGATTCAAAGGTATGGAGAACAAAGATACAAGCTTTGAGAGGGGGAATGGAGAATCAAAGAAAAACAATAATCTCTGGTAGTCGGTTCGTCTTCTGAAAGTCTCTGATGGAGCATGTGTCCCCTTCTCTCTCAGATTAGAGCCATTTTATAGTAGATAAGAGATCATTCTTGTGGAGATCATAACATATCCTCAAGGCTTCTTTATCGCAGCTTAGAGATTATCTTCGGTGGAGATCACGACTTATTCTCAACGGAAGGAAGAGTTTGGGGAACTCTTGAAGGAAACGTGGTCAAAGATTGGGCCGTTGATAAGCTTTTTGTGCTCTCTTCTTGGTGACGTGCTAAGCAAGAAGTCCAACCGTGCTCTCCTCTTGGTGACGTGCTAAGCAAGAAGTCCAACCGGCCTTGGGCTCCCTAAGGCGGTGTAGATAAACTTCCTGTGCTCTCCTCTTGGTGACGTGCTAAGCAAGAAGTCCAACCGTGCTCTCCTCTTGGTGACGTGCTAAGCAAGAAGTCCAACCGGCCTTGGGCTCCCTAAGGCGGTGTAGATAAACTTCCCGTGCTCTCCTCTTGGTGACGTGCTAAGCAAGAAGTCTAGCCGGTCTTAGTCTGTCTTGGACTTGGTGGGTTCACGATGAGGTTGGGCTCCTCAACCGGGGTTGGGCTTTAATACATAAATTGGACTACTTGGGCTTAACCCATCATTTGCCCCCCAATGCCCCATGTCCAAGGAGACTTGGAGAAGGAGGCATTGATTTCTTTTTTTTTTTTTTTTTTTTTAGGTTTCTTCCATTTTATTTTAAAGAAGGCCTATAATATTTTGTTTGGCCTTTTGATTTTGAAAAAATGGCTTATGACTTTCTTTTTGGCCACTTTGTTTTGAAGAGGGCCCATAATTTTCTATTTGCCTACTTTATTTTGAAGAGGGCCCATATTTAGTCTATTTGGGCTTTTTTCCTCTTTTTGAAAAACCCTAGACTATAAATATAGTCTTCTTCTTCAAATTACCACTTCACTTATTTTTAAGGTTGAGCACCCACCTCTTGAAGATTTTGAGAACTCAAGTCCTACCCATTTTGTTGAAGCCAAAGTGTGTGTTCTCCTTGAATCTTTCTAAGAGTGTGATTTCTTCCTTGCTAGTTGAGCTTCTCAAGTGAACAATGTCGATTGAAGAGGGATTGGTGGAGGTTGAAGAAAGTTGTGGATCTGAAATTGAAAGGCTGGGTAGCGAAGAGGAGGCGAGGAGGGGCGAAGGCGCGCTGGGCGCGCGGCTGGGCAGCGCTGGCACGCGCGCGGGGCGTGGCGCTGGGCAGCGCGCGCGCGCGCGCGCGGACGCGGCGCTGGGCAGCGCGCAGCTGGGCGGCTGTTCTGTGCGTGCTGGGGGCCTGGGCAGCTGCCTAGGGGCTGCTCCTCCTGTCTTGGACAGCCCAGGGGCGCTGGGCAGCTGCCTGGGTGCTGGGCTTGCTGTCCTGGACAGCCCAGGTGCGCTGGGCAGCAGTCAGGGAGAGCTAGGCAGTGGCCTGGGAGCACGGGCTGATCCGATTCTCATTCGAGGTGCTGAGTTGGGCGCCTTAGGTGCTGATTTTTTAGCCGAAAATTCTTCTTTGTGTAATATTGAAAGGCCAGACACCCTTCAACTTACTGGGCAACTTTGTTTGGATGAGCAACAGCAGTCAGGCACACTTTCAGGCGTTGGGCTAGAAATTGCAAGCAGTAGGGAAGCTTTGGATGCTGCCATTGATGATCAAGCCCTTGTTGTAGTTTCCCCGATTCAAGTTCTTCAAGACTCTCCCAATGGTGATTTGGACTACTCCTTAAGGCCCCGGAAGAAGAAACGTAACAGCAAAGTGGGACCCGATGATGACGGGTCTAAGGTGAGCACCATTCGTAGTTTGTTCTGTTCAGATGAAGATATTTCTAAGCTTGTTTTTACTTATCGCATCCCTCCGACCGTGTTGTGCCGTCGGGCTGAGTTGGGCGAGTTTGCTTGCGATGACTCTTCCGGGGATATTGTCGTTTACGAGGAGATGCTTGAGGCTGGGTTAAGATTTCCCATGTCTTCCCCCATTTGTCGAGTCTTGCATTACTTCTCCTTGACCCCGGGGCGACTAGCACCCAACGGTTGGAGAGTCCTCCTCGGTTTTCTTGCCTTATGGAGAAAAGTGCACCACGAGGATGCTTCCCCTATGGAGTTTCATGCAGCATATAATTTGAGCGAAACCCCTACACCAAATAGGGGATGGTATTATTTTACCGCGCGGAGTGGTACAGTGCTTACAGGGATGCGCTCTAATTGCGGCGGCTGGAAATCTTGTTTCTTCTTTATTGGTGGAGAATGGGCTTCAGAAGCCGACAGAGTTTTGGTGCCAACACATTGGGGTGCTGCTAAAAAGCCCGGTATGCTGCACACTTCTTTCTTTTTTTTTTTTTTTTTTTTTTTTTGTGTGCTCACTTTTTCTATGTAGATATACCTGTGCTTTCCCGGGACCAGGAGTGGAAATTGGAGGCTGTCAAAGCTTGCCCTTGCAAAGATTTGGGAGTTCTCCTGCCCAAGTATACTAGAGCTGTAGCTCCATCTCAGAAATCTGGCAGCTCCTCTTCGAAGAAAAAGGGTGAGCTAGTTTCCTCTCCTTTTTTTTTTTTTTTTTTTTTTTTTTTTAACCCTTCTCTATTTCTTGCAGCGAATAAGAGGGTGGTGGTGTCCCGTTTTTCTAGCAGGAGCCCTCCTTCTTCCAAAGTGATAAGGACAGATGATGCTCCCCATGTGGCTTCCACGGTGGCTTCTTCTCAACTAGCAACTTCTCCAACTGCTGCTCCAGAGTCTTCCTTGCTAGGCACATCTGTTCCACCTTTATCCTCTCCTTGTGCTACCCCTCCTTTGTCTCCTCCATGTTCAGGAACTTCTACCCAAGTGCCGATTTGGGCTGGTGCTATGATGGGGAGACCAGCAGCTATCCGGGCAAGGCTTGGGAGGTTTGTGTTTGGGCCAGAAGTTTCTGAGCTTAGCGCTTCGGGCACTGATAATATCGTCAACACGTATTTGGAAGGTCTGGCTCAGGTAAGGGTTTGCTATTTCCCTTTCTCCAGTCGTTTCCTGTGTTTTTGACTCCTTTTTTTTTTTTTTTTTTTTTTTAGGTTTCGACTTCCTCCATCTGCTTGCTTTCGAGGGCCTATAATCAAGACAAGCTGAAGCTGGATCTTAGCCTTGTGCAGAGGGAGCTTATTACTGCTCAGGAGAGGATTGTCGAGCTTGATTCTGAGCTTTTGGTGACCCGTGAGAGGGACGTGCTCCGGGAGGGTGAGCTTGTGGCAGCACATGAAAGGTTCTCTAATTTAGAGTCTGAGCTTCTGGCGGCCCACGAGAGGGACGCGCTCAGGGATGGTGAGCTTGCTGCAGCCCATGAGAGGGCCGCTAAGCTAGAGGCTGAGCTTTTGGCAGTCCACGAGAGGAGCGCGCTCAGGGATGGTGAGCTTGTTGCAGCCCATGAGAGGGCCACTAAGCTAGAGGCTGAGCTTTTAGCAGTCCACGAGAGGAGCACGCTCAGAGATGGTGAGCTTGTTGCAGCCTATGAGAGGGCCACTAAGCTAGAGGCTGAGCTTTTGGCAGTCCGCGAGAGGAGCACGCTCAGAGAGGCTGAGCTTGTAGAGGCCCATGGGAGGGCCATGCTCAGAGAGACAGCTGTTGCAGAGGCAAAGCTGACGGCTGCTAGGGAGAGAGTTTCCCGTGCTGAGGAAGACTTGGAGAACGGTCTTGCAGATGCTTTTATTGATGGTTTCGAGGATCTCCGAGGGAAAGTTTCTACCGCTTTCCCTAATATTGACTTCTCGTCTTTTGTGCCTACTGACGACAGTGATGAGGGGAGATCTGATGCTGTTGATGACAATGAGGATGAGGTGGGGGACGACCATGAGAGCAGTTAGAGTGTTTGGGACTTTTGATTTTTTTTTTTTTTTTTTTTTTGAAAAGGCGGTATCTGGCCTTATCTTTGTACCGATACTCCTTTGAAATGAAATACAGAAAATCTTTTTGGAGTAAATGGCCTAGAAAATTTTATTAATTTATTGCTTATAAAAAGCGATATTGGGTGATAATTCCCAAAGAATAAAAATACATTAAAATCTTGGGTTACACCGCTAAAAATCGAATCAAGTCCCAATTTCTACTGCTTTGATGCTCTCAAGGTGTCATTGGTAATACCTTTTCAAATGCTCTGCATTCCATGGATGGAGTAAAACTTTTCCCTCAGAATCTTGGATTTTGTAGGTGCCTGGTCTCACTACTTCTGTTACGCGGTAGGGTCCTTCCCAATTTGGTCCCAGCTTCCCTTCGCGTGCATCTTTTGTAGCGAGGATTACTTTTTTGAGGACCAAATCCCCAGGTTGGAAAGAACGGGGCTTCACCCTCGAATTGTAGTACCTTGTCATGCGCCGTTTATATTCCGCGTTGCGGACTACAGCCATCTCCCTTGCTTCCTCCACCAAGTCGAGGTTGCTACGGATCCTCG